ATGCACAAAATGCTGCTCAAGCTTGCTGTAAGCAATGGCTGAATGCTTTTAAGTGATGTATGCAATTGGTGAAATGTGCCCATTGGGGGAGGGGAGATGCACACATCAAAAAGGGATGAATTTTGGCTCATCAAAAAAAAAAAAAAAAAACTTGCCAGTCCTTGAACTGAGCATAGACTAGACATGGAGATGGGAAAGGAAGGAATTCTACACATGTTGACTTTATAGATATGCACATCCCTAATTTTGAGGCTTTGCCATTCTTCTTTCTGGTGCTTCAGCACTGGAGAAATACCTACTATATAAAAGGTATAAGGAGTGAATTATATATGACAATTCACTGTCTACAAGCTGATCACACCACTGTGGGTCTACAGGGATTATAATTTGCAGCAACATGATGAGCCAGAACAAGCACCTTCCCAGGTGCAGAAACATGGCCACCTATGCATCACCAAAGCCTAACATGAAAAAAGCAGGTATTTGCATTAAAAGTGCATATTTGTTTGTTTCCTGCCTTTTCCCCAGTACTAGCGCTCAAGGCAGCTTGCAACAAGAATAACTAAAAGAAGATCCGGATAAAACCATAAAAATGATATTATTGAAATCCAGTGGGCCCTTGGTATCCACTGTGGTTTAATTCCAGGGAACATCCCCCCAGTGGGTACCAAAATCCGTGAATGCTCAAATCCCATTAAATATAATGGCAGAATATTCCTTCTATAACAAGCTTGCTCCATTTTCAGTATGATATCCTTTCAAATATTTAAACAGGGTTATCATATTGCCTCTTAACCTTCTCTTCTCCGGGCTAAACATACCCAGCTCCCTAAGCCACTCCTTCATAGGGCATGGTTACAGGGCCTTTCACCATTTTGGTTACCCTCCTCTGGACACACTCTGGTTCATCAACATCCTTTTCAAATTGTGGTTCCTTCACCATCTTCCCAATGTGGATGCTAAATAACTTCCATCATGGTTTGAGTGTTGTACTAGGACACTGGGAGACCGGGGTTCAAATCCCTGCATGGCCACAGAAACCCACTGGATGACCTTGGGCAAGTAACACTCTCTCAGCCTCAGAGGAAGGCAATGGCAAACCCTCTCTGAACAACTCATGCTAAGAAAACCCTGTAATAGGTTCACCTTAGGATTGCCATGAGTCAGAAATAAGTTGAAGGCACACAACAACAACAGACAGTGGAGAAGGAAGAAAATTGGGGACTCTGTAGGTAAACTAGTGTTAAACTAGTGTATAAAATATAACATATAAAAAGACTTTGCAAAAAGAAGATTGCTTTTCAAAGGCTTCATTACCTAAATGAGGTATGTGTGTACTGTATTGTGTGATTTTCCACTGTCCAGGCTCCCAGAGGCTCAAGCCCTTGACAGATCTGGGTCTTAGGAATTACGCACTCTTTTCTCATCCCTGTTCATGCACCAAAAAACCTTACATTTGCTGGATATTTGAGGAGGTTAGAAAACCCATAACAAGCTGTGCAGCATCAGATATGGCCATCTAGGAGTATAATTGTGGCGGCTTGCAAAGCCTTTTGAATCCATCCTTCATGACCTGGCATTTGATCATTGCTGGTTGGCAGATTCCAACTAATGAAAGATGCTGCCAATGGGAGTTGCTTAATGTTTCTGGGCACCACAACAGTCTGAGTCAGTTTCTCAGCATGATGCTGTGCAACATACACACATTAGCCTAACAACAGAACCCTAAAAAAGAAAGGGAGGATGAAAGGGAAAGAGAAGCAAGTAAAGAAACTAAAAAGTCTCCAGTGAATAATCAACAAGAAAGCAAACTTCCAAGCTGCTCCTGGGAACAACAGAAATAAAACTATGGCCATTGCAATAATAACTAGTTAATGTAACTACTTTTTTTAAAAAAAAGGAATGTTTTTTGGCCAATGCATTAAGTGGCATAAACAGTCATACATCCTCACTGGAGGTTATGATTTACATGGGGTTGCAGACTGTCAGAAATAGTGTGAATTCAGTCCACTTTTAGGGTTAGGGTTAGTGCTAGGGAATTATGGGAACTGTTATTTTCCTGAGACATTGAACCTTCTCTGTCAGACAACTCTAGTGCCACAATAAAATACAGTTCCCATGGTTCCCTAACTCTAACCCTAACCCTAAAAGTGGACTGAATTCACACTATTTCTGGCAGTGTGCAACCCCGAAGTGAATAGTGTATCAAATTGGCTTGTTTTTGGGCCCGGCTCCATTTCCTGTGATTGCTTTTAGCACTTTTCTTCATGAACTCAATACTTTCTGCTTTGGAAGGGATGGTTTTTTGTCTGGTGCTAAGACTTGTCAGATCAAGACAAAAGGGGGGCTTTGCGGGTTTTCACATGGGAAGAGAAGAAGGGAGAACATTCGGTGTGCGGTGGGGACAAAATTTTCTGCAAGGTTTGAAGACCCATTCTTGGATATTTCGGTGCCCCTCTTTATATCTTTGTCTATGATTGTATGATTCTTTATATCTATGATTGTGTGATTATATATATCTTTATATCTTATACCTAAGGTCAGTGCTCCTATTTAGGCCTAATACAGCCAGACTATTCTTCAGGGTTTTGTAG